TTCCGATCTCCCCAAAACCCCAAAACCCCTGAATATGAATTTGATATTTTTTTTATGCATTAAATGAATTATAAATAAGAATAAAATGAATATAGACATTAGAGAGTATACAGTTAGACAAGACACCTAGAAAGATTCTTAAAAAGATAAAGAATCTTTCGAAATCCCACCCTAGCTTCTTTAGACTTAAAGATCAAAGACTCCTTTAGGTCTATTTAATACAGCTCAACTCTCTAAAAATAAATCTCTGAACAAGCTCTTCTAGCAAACTATTTACATTTCGCCTTCGTCCAAAGGTGAGTAATTAAACATAAAAATGTATTTCATCCTCTAATAGACTGAATTTATAGGAATGCTTAAGCTAGATGAACTTTAGAAAAATTAGGCAAGAGAACTGAATAATGAGAAAAGTTTGCTAATGAGGATCAATAAACTGTAGCAAATTAACAGTGTTTTGAAAAAAGATTTATTGGATAAAGTAAGTTGACTAACTCACATCTAAATTTTTTTAAATAACTAAAAAAATAGGCCAATAAGATTGATGAGCTGGAAAGAGAAGTATCTATTCTAAAGACTTTAGTAGAAGAAGAGCATTTAGAGCACTATAACTGCGTCCTAAATTAGAGTGAAAAACTCAAATAGGAAAACAAAGAAATGAAGCAATTTCTTGAGGATTATGGTTTCAAGTGGTTAGGCTCAATTGATCAGATGAAAACTACAAATGCAGATGAAAAGAAAAAGTTATTTGAAATAATGAAGAAGGACTATACAACCTTCTAGGATCCTATGTTTAAGAATCAATAATTAAGCGGTGTTCCAAGCCTTGCTATTGAAGAAATAAAAAAGAAAGTTGAAGAGTTGAACAAAAAATCTGAGAAGCAATATGCAAAGAGGTAAAATGGTACTGCAATTATAGACAAGGATAAACCTTTGTTATTTCATTTGTTTAGAAATGGCTTGAAACTAGGTAGTTTGCCTTACTACCCATATTTCTCGAAGGAAGGACAGGAGATATTATCTGATATATATGATGGATTCTTCCCAACAAGATTGAAAGGAAAGTATTTTGAATGTACTCCTATCATTGTTATGGATGAGACTAATTTGTTATTTGTACCTCAAATGAAGAAAATTATGTAGAAAGCAATGACAGATGAAGAAACTTCTCTTAATAGCGTTACTAAAAGATTGACTTTGTCAAGGTTAAGAAAGGTTTCTTCTTTAAATATGGATAGTTTGAGTGCCAGAGACTCAAATTTTAAACCAAGTCCTAAAATGGAATCAAAGATCCCCACAATTTCCCCAGCTCCACCCTAGAAAGCTGACTTTGCTCCAGAATTGATTGAGGTAGAGACTGAGATCTATAAAATTATGAAGGAGCACGCTGTTAACACTTTTCCTAGGGAAAATTTAGTTGAAATAACAGTAAAAACTGAGAATAAAAAACGGCAGTTGCTTATCAAAATGGGGAAAAAGGAAACTATCGCTAGGCTATTCGATTATGTTTACGTTCATAGAGAAACTATGGATGTAAAAAATAGGGATAGATTTGAATTGAGGACTATTTTCCCTCTAATCAAACTCAAGCATAATGATAATAGAACTTTGGAGGAGCTGGGATTCGTACAGAGAAAATCTCTAGGATTTTATTTGCTGCCACCTCCTGATAAAAATAAAGAAGGAAAATCGCTCTTGAACTGATATCCAACTTAAAATTATGATTTGATATTTTATCATATAAATTTTAACATTCGTGATTCCTAGAGTTTATCAATGGGGTTTTGGGGTTTTGGGG